CCCCCGCGGGCAGCTCAGGGCAGCGGGGGACAGGAGGGTCCGAGCTGAGGCTGCTAGGGCTGTCTCTCTGCCCCACACTGTGCGGGCGGGACCCCAGTGAGCCAGATGGCAGCCAGACTGCCGGGAAGTGCAGGGTTTTTTTGTTTGTTTTTTTTAAAATGGGGAATGCTGGGTTTGGGGGCGCAGGGATCAGTGGCCTCGGGGAAGCAGGCAGGGGGAGGGACTGGGCAGAGAGGGGATGGGGGCTTGTGGGGGGGCAGGCGGAGGGTGGGGCTAGGCAGGGCAGGGGTTGGGGGCCTGGGAGAGTGGGTGGGGCCAACAGGGGTCCCCCCCATGGTCCCCTCCCCAGTCCTCCAGCCCCTCTGACCCCTTACTGGCACTGGAGCCCTGGTGCTGAACAAGCTGTCTGGCAGGCCGCGCGTTTCAGCACCAGGGCAAGGGGCCAACCACAGAGACGCTCTGGCAGCCAGAGCATCTCTGTGGAGGACCAGCCTCTGGTTGCCTCAGGGCACGGTCCGGGACCGTGTTCTGCCCCGCTTTTTTAAACTCCGGTTTTTGCAGCATGGAGTCCATTTTTTCATTCCTGCACATGCCTCTTGCCCCACCTCAAAGGAGTTTGAGACGAGGCAAGAGGCACATGCACGCTCATCTGGATGCACCCCATATGTCAAACACAAGGGTACACAAAAGTATGGGGAATAATGTGAGAAAAACTGACTACCAAGTTCTACAAGCAAAAAGATAAAAAAAAGATTCTTAGGATACTGATGGACTTCCCAGGAATTTGCTGGAAAAGAATCTTTTTCTCTCTCTCTCTCATATACGTCATCACAAGATTTGAGAGATTGAAGACTTTTGAACACTGAGGAAGGGGGAAAGCCACTACTGTACTAGTTGGACACCACGCTAGTTTTGCAGACTCCAGAAGGCCAATCAAAGTCTCTAAACTTGTGCATACACCAAACCTGTTTCTGAGGGAACTGAAAGGCTGGAGCAACAAGAAAAGATTCCTATAGCAGTTTGTTGCATGTTTTAATAAATAATGTTTAAAGGGAGGCAGGGAAAGAAAAAATCTCCCTGAGGGTGCATGTTAACACATTTCTACTTGAGAAGTTGAAGAAACTTCCAGTTCGATCCCTCATCCCTTTATAGAATTTAGGTCATAAAAATTGATATCCATCCATCCAAGTATTCAAAATGCTTTATAACATCATTATCAAGAGTACATTCATCCTTAAAATCCTGATAGGCAAGATAGATTTTTATCTTAGTTACAGGTAGGGAATTGAGGCAGATAATATATATAGTTCATTCTAGGTAATAGAGGGAGTCTGTAGCAGAGCTACAAACTAAACCCAGATCCCCAACTCATCATACTAAGCTTTAATATTGAGATTGTTCTTCCATCCTTTAGAGTTTCTTCCTTAATAGTTTGTATTTATAACATTGAAGTAGATAGGCTAGTGGTTTCCCACTACAAACTCATTTGCATTAGGTAGATAAATGGAAGGTGTGTCCAAAGCAAGATTCATTCTTTGTTGCAGTTTATCCCTGAGAGCAATGTTTCCTTCTTTAGTAGGTGCTGCATAGGATTTTTAAAGTCAAAATATGAGAGAGAATAGTTTTTTATATAATGGTATGAGGCTAAAGCCACTGCAAATTTATGACTAAAAGAGGTGTTAATTGGATGACAGATGCGTAAAAATTGGGAGTATAACTCTGCAGTCCAATCAAATAAAGGCTCGTTGTTAGAGCTATAAATTAAGAGCTAGATGCAAAGCCTTCCAAGTCTATAGAAACACTCACTGAAATTTGGATCCAGCCCTATGGGTGGGAAGAAATCAGCGTGCTCTGAAACTTATTTTACAACTGATGAGAGCTTCCTGGTGTCTACATCCGTTGAAGTTCAAAGGGAGATTCCTTTTCCCTTCAGAGATTTCCAATATTGGCACCGTATATCAGAATGGCAGCTTTTGGAACTATCCCCTGCCTCTAGATTCATTGGAATAATAGCTTTTTCTCAAAAATATTGCTGTATGAGGATTTTAAAGAGAAAATATTTATACACATGAGAATACTGTTTTTTTTAATTAATTAAAAAAAATCAAAGTTTTCCATTAAAAGATATTTGCTTAATATCATCTAACAAGAAGATCTTGTCTGTCAGTAAACTAAATAGATGGTAATTTTACAAAATGCTTAGGTTTGCAAAGTTTTGGTTTTGTGAGTGGCAGTCTGCACTGGGATTGCAAGATCATTAACTTTTTTGTTGTTTCCTGTCCTTTAGCTTCTTTCAAGCACTTGAATATTAAACTACCCACTACCTTTAGATCCTACAGTATCCAAGAGCAAATTTAGAAATCCTGTCCTTTAGTTAGCAAAGATATGGTTGCTTGTTAGAAAGATCTTGAAATGAGAAACATGAATGCCTAACATTACTTACTCCACTAGCATTTACAAAGAAATGTGCTATCATCCTCCTCTGGTCACTGAAGAAGGAAAAATGTGGGCAACAGCCATATACCTGTAGCCTTCTCCTTTTGTCCTATTCAAGGAAAGGTTAATCCAAATGGTGGAAATATCATGTAAATCAAAGGAAGGAATTTTGGAAATTTCTGTATTAATAACTGAACTGTATGGATTTATGCTTTCAGAGTATGAAATAGAGAGATCTTTTTTCCTACGAATGAAATGCGTCTTGGCCAAGAGAAATGCAGGTTTGACATGCAGCGGCTATAAGGTAATGTGCTGGAGTCTTTCTGTGTTCAAAGAATAGCAGGTTTTATTTTTGTATGGGGAGTTAAAAAGTAGCCTGCTGCTGAAAAGAATCAGAACACATTTGAACAATGCCACTGCTGATTATGCGTTCTCTAATTAATGCAGTCATATACCCTGAAGTAATGGGCTAAATCCTGATACTAATTTTTAGGCAATTCTGATAGACTTGGATGGGATTATTTACTGTGTTGTTTAGTATGAGTAAGGGTATCAGATTACAGCTTCCTGATATGCTGCAGACATTCATTCAGAATTCAGGTCTGCTGTATTGTCAGGTTTATTGGTCGCCCTCTTTGCATACATTAATGCCATGTGCCCTGAATCCATGTCATCTTGGCCACCAGGCTCCCCATGAGTCCAAGAATTTGGCAGCGAGGGAGCGGTGGTCCTGTTAATTGCAACTCCCCTCCTGCCAGATTTCTGGATCTGTGGGAAGCCCTGTGGCCTGGATAATGTGGCCCAATATGCTAGATTTGGCAGGCTTGGTGGGGCAAGAGGGGTTCAGAGCAGGGCCAGGCTGGATCTGAGCAGTGTGGGGCCTGATCCGGACAGGAACCCTGGAAGTCCGGTCTGGGCACTGGCTCAAGGACACCCATGGGGCCAAAAGGTTGAGCATTACAGTTTTAATGATTTACTGTACTAAAACATGGACTATAGTAAGGGCTGTAATTTTATTTATTTTCATCTTTGAACTGCAGATTTACTGTCCTATATGCTAACAATACACTTCAGCTACTTAAATACCAGCGAAAAAAGGCACTGCACATGCAGTCCTAACGAAGAATAATTCATTCAGATTCCTTCAAAAGCAAAAAAAAAGAGTCTGTCAGTGTTTTGCTATTCCATTAGCATGTGTCCAAGGTGCAGACATGCTTTTACTCAGTTAAACTGGAACAATTAAACTGGATTCCATGTAGCCTTAGATAAGCAACTCCCCAGTGATGCAGAATATTGTATCCTACAATTTAACTGAATTCTGTTTAAAAAACAATGAAACAGACAGTTGTGTCATCCTATATTGCTGCTTTGGTTATGATTTGCAAGCAGGGGGAATCATTTCACACTGTCCCCCTTGATGCAATATTATCGCAATAATATATGATCATGATGTGTAAAAATAGGATTTTTAGAGTATTTATTGCTAGCTTAATATTGTTTTCACAGAAGTAATTCCAGCCCTGAATGCTTTGAAAACTATTACCTGAATAGCCAGAGTGAAAGGGAAGACAAACAAGAAGGTTCTTTTGGGCATCTTTGATTCCATGGTTATGTTGGCTGATATATTAATTAATTGTTGAATAGAACTATATGATTAATTTATTTTTAGCTGTATATTCAAGGGATTGTCAAGGAGTGCTGAGGACCACGGGCATATACTACTTTTCACTGAATGACTATTTGAGTTGAAACAAAGAGTACAGATAAAAGATGAGGGTCACATAAATTGTTCTGTTGATACCTGTAGTACCCTTTGTTAAGTTTCTTGCATCTCTTTGGAATTGAGCATTGCAGAAGCACGCACAGCTATGGAGCAGTGTTCAGAAATGAACAATATTTTTGCTCCTTCAATTTCTAGAAGCATTTGTTTCTTCCTTTGATTGCCCCAAAATGCCTTCCTTTAGCACAAAATCTAACATGAGATACACCCATGCAACCCTCACTGTCATCAACCGGAATCGTAAATGTGTCAGAATGGATTTAGCACGAAATCGCTGGCATTAACTTGCCAAAAGGGTGGTATTTAAAAGCAATTGAAAAAGGTCAACTGTTTAATGTTTCTAAGTATGTATTTAATAATTTGTAAGTAGGATCTGTTCATAACTAGTATATTTTCAAAGTATATCTGTTTTTCATCAGCATCTCAAAGTGTGTATTGGTATACGTGCATGTCTGTTACCTGGTTAAGCTACCATTAAAAGCACATCTAAGATTATTTGGTTAATGTACAGCAACTGTCTCTTTGCATCTACCTTAAATGTATATGAAAGAAACTTAGTTTAAAGAATAAACTAAAAATGAAGCCACATGGCCCCAGGGCTCTCACATTTTCACAGCTGATTACCATGTACTGTTGGCAGTGGGACAAACAGACAGAATAACTCTATCTCTGTTTACAAATTAATCAACCTGGGAGCCTTAATAAACTATCCAGCTAGACAAATGGAGTTATGAAGAGAAAGGGGTTTGTGTCATAATTGAAAAAGATGCTCCTTTAACCTTTACGATCTCTGCCAATTACCAACAGATGGCTAGTATGCTTTCTTTCCGTGCCAGGTGATCCACTGCAGCGGCTACTTGAAGATAAGGCAGTATATGTTGGATATGTCCTTGTATGATTCCTGTTACCAAATTGTAGGACTGGTGGCTGTAGGTCAGTCTTTACCTCCCAGTGCAATCACTGAGATCAAGCTTCACAGTAACATGTTCATGTTCAGAGCAAGCCTGGACTTAAAACTAATATTCCTAGATTCCAGGTAAGCAAAACTATTTGGTTTCTATTTTAAAATATTTGAATGTTAAATATTATCATAAACTACATGGATTTCTAAAAACATCAAAATATACAAAAAATGAATTAAAATTGAGTTTGAGCATAAAGAGTATGTGAGACTTTGAAAGCTACTCAGAAAATAAGTCCAATAATAGTATATAACCTATAATAATCTGTACTACAGTCATGTCCTGAGGCCTCATTGTACTGGGCCATGTACAATGTATAGGAAAACAGTTCATGCCCTGAAGATTAAGCAAGATGGACAAAAGGTGGGGGCCAGAGAGAACGGGGAAGAAGAGAAGCATTAGCATCCATATTTTATAGGTGGGGAGCCAAGGCACAAAGATGAAGCAGCTTGCTAAGGTCACACAGAAACTCTGTGGCAGAGTGAGGAAGCAAACTCAGTCTCCTGAATTCTAGTCCAGAACCTTAATCATGAAACCAGCATGCTTTCCTGACGTCTCTAACCCTAACCCAGACTGCTTGTTTATGAAAAGATACGAGTGACAATAAATTTAAAAAAGCTAGAAAACAAGACGACATGTCTTCTTGGTAAAATAAGAAACATTGGAGCAGTTTGGAGAATTGGCTAGTGCATAAGCCCTGCCTGAATTTATGAGAAATGGGAGTTAGGTCATCTCACCATACTTTTCAGGCCATAGCAAAAGTGCTCACAGTGTGACTGTCAGATTCCAACGACTGCAAATTCTGCTAAATACCTTTTCACAAGGACATGAGAAGGAAGGAAGGACCATACTTTTCAGATATAGCCCATTTGGATGCCTGCAAGACTTCCCCTGTGGTCAATGGAAAAGTACAAATCCAGAGCTCAAAAAAAAAAAGGTTACAAAATTATCCCTTTCCAACATGTTCCACCCTCCAGCATAGTTCAGGCTGAGGCTTAGCCCAAGGGAAAAGCCTTCGTTCATTCAATCAGATTCATAGGCTGTCTGATAGGTTTGACTGTTGACAGAGACATGGTTCTTCAAAAGTTGTTCCAAGAGTATAGAACAAGACTTGACATACTGTATCACTTCCCGAGGTTTGCAGGCACCCAAAACAATTTAACTGCTTTGAGTGGGGGAAACTTACCACAAATTCAGCTGTACCATGGTAATTGTGTTGTCAGTCCACTCTGTGCTGTGATACGTAGAAGATATGTTGCCATCCATCAGGGTTTATTATTGCTGTTTAGTTTTACGTACTGTGGGATAGGAACAGACCGATAAAACAGTTACAGTGGATGAGCTGATGTGCACTTGCAAGTGGTGACTCCTATCTTTCCACCTTTTAAGCAGTATAATGGTTTCATCTCTCCACCACCAGATATGCTGGAATGGCAAGGAGCAGAGATGTCATTTCTGCTTAATGGTGAAAATAGGTTAGTTCCCATGACATTTGGAAGTGTTGTGGGGCAATACAAAAGCATGCTTTCTCCCAACTAAGGACATTGAGGCCTAAGGGTCAACTGCTGAAATATATGAGTTTTTTCAGAATCTTTTTTGTGGGGACTTGTTTTAAACCACACAGCAGTTATGACTCAGCATAAAAGACTCTGCGGCATGCCCTTGCACAGCAAGGCTAAGGTAGAAGGGGAAAAGGAAGAGCTGTGTCCATATGGAGTTACCTGAAGATATAAAAGTTGTCAGAAGAGGTAGTATGTCCAGAGGTGCTGGAAGGGGCAGAATTAACAAAAGGTGCTGTTACACCCTTGAGAAGGGGACAGCCAAGCACTGCTCCCATGAAGAGGCATGGGGTCCTGTCTCTGTCCCTGTCCCACAGATAGGACATTCTGGAATATTAACCATCAGTAGCAGTGCACTGCAGCCTGGCTATCCAAACTATGATTCCTTCCAGCATACGTTTGATCATACTTTAGACTGAATGGTGTTCCTGGCACATCCCACCATCGGTATATCCACACAGAGAAAACTATAAACAAGCCTTCAGTTTGTAACCGTAGAAGTAGACAGACACATGCACCAGAAACAAATGTCATAGAAGCTTCATTCTTCTGGACAAAAGGTCTTGTTCAGGATTTCATGTAACTAAGGTAGTCAGAATAGAGAGATAGCAGTCCTTTCCTTTGGAAGTGTTCTGGGACTGCTTCAATGGATGCATCCATTATTGCCAGGATTTTAAGGAGTCCTGGATTGATCATTTGAGCCAGCTCTATTCCTCTTTCTGATTTCTCTTTTCACACGCACAGAGCAACTGTTACATCCCAAGATACCAACCAGGACTATTTTCAGTTAATTTGTTCATGCTGCAGAAGTTAAGAGATAAATTCAAACTTTTCAAAACTCTGGGTGTGCTTAGATCCAGGGCTTTTGTTCAGCCCGTGGTAGGGGCATCTGTAAAGCTAGGATGTAGACACAAAGGAAGGAATTGTTCAGATCCAGAATTTGGGTTCGAGCCCACCTGTAAGTCATCATTCAAGCAAGGAAACCACATGAAATGGCTCTCCATTTTAAGCACACTGAAATCCAAAGTATGGTGAAAATGATATCTGAACAGATCGTATGCCTGAAGTGGCTGAAAAACCATGGACCATCATGCAGAAATGAGAATTTGGGTCCTAAGTTTTGTGAGATAATAGAGTGCTGTGGATGTGACACACCCACACTCTACCCCTCAAAGAAAGAGAGAATTGCATCTTATGTCATTACAGAGCAGCACTGATAATTCTTGAGGAAAAAAATACCCAAGTCCTTCTCAGACAGAAGGACCATTGACATATGTGGAAGTGGGGGGTCTTTGTGGAGTAATTAGTGCACATGTGGATGATAAGACCCTGGAAAACCTCTTGTTTCTTTACAACTCCCTCTATAGTCTAAATGCATAAAAGGTACACAGTGTCTTTTCCCTGTGTCAGAAAAGAAGTAAATGAAAAACCCTGTTTCATTTCAGGGGCAGGCAATTAATATTTAGCGCTATGGGGAAAGAAAACAAAAAGATACAATGGTAACAAAGTAGAGATCAGCAAAACCTGATAATGCGCACTGTAAAAGACATTTGACAGGATTCCTCTGCTAGGCTTTGAAACTGAATGCAGTGCCTCCATTCTGTCCTTAGTGAGGGAGATGGGCTGCTGGAAAGCAAACCCCACCAATATTTGACATAAATCTGACTGTGGATAAGCCATGGGGAGTACTTCAGAGCATATTTTGCCATAAAGCAGCAGGGGTAGGCAAGAGTATATAGGTCACAGAGTTTGCTTTTCCTTTGCATTTTGCATGACTAGTCCTAGAACTGCCCATTACTGAGCTTTTTGAACCTTCCCCTGACACAGAGGATACTGGCCATTGAATCCATTTGGTTTCCCCTGTTGTGTGGTTCAGTGGTAAGAAACTTGTCTAATGTCTATCTTAAACATTTTCCTTCCTTTGCTTCTGGCCATTGTGCCTTGTCCTTCCCTCTTCCAAGCTAGAATAATCCCCTGCCTTCCTTTAGACATTAGCTTGAATTTATTTATAGACTGTAATCATAGTCCCCATAGACTGATCATTTCTACTATGCTCATACGCCTGCAAAGGCAAATGAAAATTTGTCAGCAGTACAAAAAAGTCACTTTACTATTTTATGAACAGCTCATCAACTGGACCTTTGTGCAGAGAATCACTCATGTTAGTAGCTCCAAGGATGATGCTGATAAAATAAATTTAGCAAAAGCCTAGAGCTGAAATAAGTTAATGGACTCTTTCTCCTGCTCGTCTCTGAGTCAGTCTAGTGTGTACAGCAGTGCTCACTGGCTTTGGCTGGAGTTCAAAAGTTCTAATTTCTTGTAAAGATTATGGTTCTCAGTTTCCAAAACCAACATTTTGTCCTGCAGCCTTTTAGCACTTGATTAGCTGGCAAAATTAATATTAGTTTAATGAAACTGAATATCTCTAGAGATGCAGCTTATTAGTCAGTCTTCCTTTTCTAGGGTGACTGAATTAACTGGATATGAGCCCCAAGACCTGATAGAGAAAACTCTCTACCACCATGTCCATGGCTGTGATGTGTTCCATTTACGATATGCTCACCACCTCTGTAAGTAAAATAAATGATTGACTCAAGCTTTCAGCTTACCAGGTAGAGTGAGGAAGCAACATGCACTTCAGGGCAAGCAAAACAAAGTTGAAAGGGCCATATTTTCAAGTGCCCACCCCCTCTGGTTGGGACTAGATTTTCAAAAGCACTCTGCTCCTGTTTAGGCATATAATTGAATGGTCAGATTTGCAAATGTAGTAAGATTTGTAAATGCTTTTTCTTTGGCTAATATGTGTGGCTGCTTTATTTTGCTAGCTGAACTGGAGTTGAGCCCTTTTGAAAATCTGGACCTGATTCTGAGCACTGAACTCTTGGAAAAATCTGTTTCTTACTGGTCTCTGCTGTTTTTTTAAAAAAAGGAAGAGGTATATGACAGTCACTGATACCCTGAGAACTTGTTTCTAATAAACAGCCTAGATATGAAGTGACAAAAGTAAAATCCTTAGATCTGTGTTCATGAATAGCATGTGGGTGAGGTTTGCAGAGCTTTTTTCTCAGGAAGAAGAGATACATTTAGTAATTCCACATTTGCCAACAGAGAAAGTAATCACATCTTTAAACATCTGGATTTGGGAAGTAGTTTAGTCAGTAGCACATTCATTTGAGAAGCAAACCGGGGGAACAGAAAAATTCTCTGGGTTTGGCTCAGTCCTCTACAGTCTGTGCTGTACTAAAACAAACAAACAAATGCTGAAAGGAAATCTAGAAATTATTGTTAGTGAATTATGTTCCAGATTGCTGCCTTAGGGTTAAAATAACCTTGACCTTCTCTGAAGAAGGGAGTCTATGCCTTACCTTACTATGTGATGTTAATGAAGAAGGTCTGGAATTAAAAAAGACTATCAGAAAATAAACTTATCATACTTGGAAAATGTCAATGCTGAATGGCTAAACACCAAGTTCTACTGAGTCCAATGGGAGTTATGTATGGGAAAAAAGGAAAACTGACCCTAAATGATAATGTGATTTAATAAAGCACTGGTAGAAGCTCAGACCTGTTAAATCACACTATTTCCTAATAACTCTTATTTTCAGTTTCCTCTTTTATGAATACGACCAAATCCTGTATGTATCTTTTGTGCTTTTCTATATTTGACTAATCCAACTAATTTTAAAATACAGTCACAGACCTTACAACTGCTAGCAATATGCTGGCATTGGAATACAATAGGTTGATCCTTAGAGCCAACTTTTGTATGGCTCTAAGGATCCATAAATATGATTGTAAATAGGATTGTAAATAGGATTCGACTGATATACAATTGGAGCTTTAAATGTAGAGACAGATCATGGCTATTTAATTAAAAACATCGGTTTGGATGGTATAACTAATGATATAAATAAACTGTTACAAAGTTTAGAAACTGAAGGATCAGTCTGAGAGACACAGATATGTGAAAGGGTTTGGAAGAATTAAAGTACCCAAAAGCTAAGAAGAAAAAGTAATAGTTAATGCTTCAACAACAACAGGAACAGTGTAAAAGCATAATCAGAAGAGCAAGTTGTAAGAATGATTAAAACAGATGTAAAATGTACAAACTTCTGTGCCTCTGGAGAGCACTGTTACAACTCCCCCATCATCTATCAGCAGATGTCTAATGAGTATGAATAGTAAAAGGTTGGCAAGGTCTGAATTTGCACAACGTAGCATTCTACAAAACAGTCCGATGATTAAGTGTCACTTGATGGTGAAATCTGGAAAGAACTATCTTACACCTAATAAGGGAATTAAAAAAAGAAAACCATACACTAAGATAGTCAATTGCTCTTCCAAAGAAAAATAAAAAACTAAAGCAGTTGAACTTTGCATCAAGCATCAGAGAGAGCAATAAAGAAAACAAAAAGAGAAACAAGGTAAAAAGTGTGCAACAAGAATAGCAAGCTGCAGTAAAAATAATAGATGTGAGTACTTGCGAAGTATGCACTGTGAAAAAAAGTTTTCTGTTTTAAACACTAAATGGCTTGCTAGAACTTTTAAGAAAAAGGTCTAGAAGTTTTAGAATGTTATGTGTATTTCTCAATACGAGTGTACATACATAATGCTTGCTGCACAGCAAAGATTTCTTGGTCAGGACAGACTGGGCACATCTACACGGTCATTAATGTGCTGTGTAGTTACTGCATACTAAGTTTAGTACTTGTATAACCCAGTACTAAATCAATGTGCAGTAACTGGCACTACTGCGTGGCTTTTTAGTTACACTAACTGCACAGTAGCCCAATACTACTACAGAGTAGAGTATTAGCACAGTTTTTGCCCTGCACGCTACTGGGCAGTAGAATTAGGCTACTGTGCAGTTAGCATCTTGTGTAGATGCACCCACTGGGTACCAGCCCCAGCTGCTGACATACCTTCACCACTTAGGTACTTCCCTGGAATTCAGCCTGCCTACACACAATACCCAGTAGCACAGCAGGTTAAACTCTACACACAGCCTTGAGTCTCCTTTTGCTGCTGTAGTAATGAAGGCTTCCAACATTACTCTACTGGCTTTTGAGATGGCTCAAAAACTTCATAGGGTTCCTGTTCTAGTAGGGTATCGTTCACTAACCATCCAGCTTAGTGCCTGGATCTAGCTAATTGGCAAGATATGGGATAGAGAGAAGCTAAAACAGTTACTGCAAGTACAGGATTAAAAAGCCAATTTCTCTGTAGCTGTGGCCTTAAGTATAGACTGACAACTGCTGCAGTCCAATGGGATTTACAGAGCCCTCTGAAATACCCATCTATGACAGATGAGATGGGAAAAACCAGTCAAGGAAGCAACACAGAGAAACAGTCATTCACAAATGGCAGAACAGCCAGGAGTAAAGGCTGCTGAATCCTAACCTACTGGTTGTAACAAAGGCCATCAAGGAGTCGGGGCTTGCACAAAACAGCCTCGATAAAGATGCATCTTACTCCCAGAAAAAAGGTTTCTCAATCAGCAGTTAACCAGGTATCTTAATGCAGGGTCAGAAGCAAACTAATTTAAAACGCAGCTCCTATCCTTTGTCCAAGGTCGTTTTCCTCAGAGACTGTCAAAAGTCTAGGGACACAAAGAAAGAGCTCTAGAGAAATGCTGCTCATATATAATCAGGAAGTGAAAATGGAGCATTCAGTCCTCAATTTTATTCACCTCTTTTAAAACACTGTCTTAACAAAAGACCTAAAGCAACAGAAGGGACACATGGAATACTAGAGTGAACCACAAAATGATTCCTGACATACAAGGAAATGCTCTGTGGTGAATAAATAAGGCAGGAAGTGCCCTACTAACTTACATTTTGGAAGATCACATGTCTGAACAGTTTGAATTCAGCATAAAACAAATCTGAGCATTAAAGAGACTAAGGCACAGGAATTTAGTATTGGAAAAACTCAGAGGCCTTTAAAAAATGTTTCTTAGAAGATCGAAGCCAAAAGGGGATTGTCATTTGTGGGGCTTTGTTTGGGGTACAAGTAAGTATGGTGCATGGAGATTTAGATTTGGCTGTAAATCCTACCTTGTAACTTAATAGAGATTAGCATTAAATTATAGTTGTAACATCAAATGTTAAAGCCAGTAAAATGAAGATTGTAACCCGGTCTGAAACTGCAACTGAAGACACTGACCTTTGAATTAAGGGTAGTGTATTGCATTTAAGATTAATCTGTGTTTTAAGTCAGGGGGCCAACCTGTGGCAAAAAGGTTGGCTCCCACTCTTTTCAGAGAACCACAAAACAGAGGTGGGTCAAAAAACAAAACAAAAAATCAAAATGCAAACAGGATCTAAAAAAGAGATTTTGAAGTAAGCATAGCGGTTAGCTTGGCGTCTTTCATGATAAATTTTTGGTTGTCCTATCAGAGGATGTTACTAGTTATTTTGTGGACTTATTAGTTTAGTACAAGAAGAACTGATTCCATAGACAAAAAGTCCTTCCTAAAGTCATGCTTCAGGAGATTCCCTGAAGCGAGGCAAGACAGCCTAAATTTGAAGAGAAGTATAACTAATTGCTACCTGTGTAGATGAATGCAAGAGGAGTCTTTAATGTGAGATGACACACCACAAGCATAAGTTTGGCAGAACAAAGGAGAAAAGTTCTAACTCACGTATAATAGGTCTTGCCAGTCTCTCTGACTGGTTATTTACACTGTGAATGTCACTGCAGCATCTGAATATTATCCACATTACAAAATCATGCATTTAGTCCAGAGAGTGACAACCAGGTAATTAACTAGCAACAGAAAAGTAAAAAAGGATCATGTGCTATGCTATATCTACATCCCTATATTGAATGTCTCCCCTACCAAAAAAGACCCTCTAAAAATACAAGGGATTATATGAGACCATAAACTTTTATTTCATGTGGTCATTTTCTCTTCTACCATTGGCATGCAGTAATCTTCATCATTCATCCTAGCCTCTTATGGGCCTGATCCTTCACCAGCTGAGTAAAATGGAAATCACCTCAGTGTGAGCTTTGCCACTCAGCACAGTGATGTACAGGTCAGACCTTACGTTAGGTAAGAAGCCATCCCTAGTACTTCATCATTCTTCCCACACAAGGCTACAGGGAGATGCTGCCACTGATTACACTTTCTCTTGGGTTGGTTTGAACATAAAGCACTGCTTTTTCCTTCCATAATTTAAAGTAGATAATGATTTGTATAGAAAAGGATTCGGATGAAGCGTCTCATTGTGTGCTTTAGGGTGAGGCAAGAGAAGGGAATATTCAACAGCAGGAGTTATTCTCTTATGAATCAGTACATAAATGCCTGGCACTGAACCAGAGAGATTTGTGGAGAAAAAGGCCAGATTAAATATTTGGAAATTCTACTCATCTCCTATTATAGCGTATCCCAATGCCAAAAACATCCCTGTTCACAGAGAACCTAAGCCAGGGGCTTAGAGGATTTACACTTGCAGTAGGATCTCTCCAATCACTCTGTCTACCTTGTTGTTCTTGAACATACAGTTAAAAGAGCAAAGAAATTTTGCTTTAATTTTTCCATGTTAAAAATAAACTTGTTCCATGTTTTAAATGAAGCAAACCAGAAAGCTGACATTCTAGACAGGAAAAAAACCAGCTCAAAATGTACTGGGAATGCGCAATAATCTTTCAATTGACTTCAGCTGTTCCTAAACACTTTAGTAAAAATTTAAAATAAAAACAGTTGTATCCATTTCTAAACAGTCTTGGAACCTGCTACTTATCCATATATATATTTTAAGAGCACCCTAAAAATTAGAAGGTTTGTTCTAAAAGAGTGATTTGTAGAGTTGCTAGTGTACAAGTGCAGGGTAAGGTGGAGATGGAGAGGGTAAAAATGGTAAATGGTATGTAATAAAGTATTTTAAAAAAGTAATGTCAAAGAGAAACTATGTGAAGGATGGGGGTATACATCTTTGCAGAGAAGTCCCCTGAAGTTCAGTGTTACAAGGGGAAATCTTCCTGTTTACAGACAAATCACTGCGGGCTGTGGTCGTAGATCAGTCAATGTGAAATACTTTTTGCATTATGTTCACAGTGTTGGTGAAAGGCCAAGTCACAACCAAGTACTATCGACTGCTGTCTAAGCACGGAGGCTGGGTTTGGGTACAGAGCTATGCCACCATTGTACATAACAGCCGTTCATCACGGCCTCACTGCATAGTGAGTGTCAATTATGTCCTTACGTAAGTCAAAATATTTTGTACCCTTACATGTTACCGGTATTTAAATTATTATGGAGTAAAACCTGTATTAAAATTTTTTGTAGGAATTTCTTCTAGTATCCCCATATAGAGATAGATAGATAGATAGATAGATAGATCCATTTTTCTGCTTCTCCTTTTGCTTACAGTACCTGTAAATAGCACACTGGACAAGATGAGTTTGTGCGCCTTATGATTACATTTACATACCATTACCTTGCATCATGGAGGATTCCAGAGATTTTATGATGAAATGGCAGCTTATTGGTAATCACCTAAGCTTGGAGGCTGCATTTGAGACCTGGGCCCCATTTGTGCATGGTGCTGCACAAAGAAATAGCGAAAAACAGCTACTGCCCTGAAGAGTTTGCAGTTTAAATCAATCAGACAGATAAATGGTGGGAGAAAGGCAGTCCCACTTCACAGATGAGAAACTGAGATATAGAAGTATTTAGTCACTTAAAGTTGCACACCTAAGTAGAGCCAAATGTCTAGGTCATGGGTGGGCAAAGCACAGCCCACTGAGGGATTTCGTCCAGCCTGCAGCAAGTCCCTTGGTCCTACCTGACCCAGGCATGAGAGGCAGCCCAGGCCGTGGCACATGTGACCAGTCCTGCAGGCATGCAGCAGGGCTGAGGTGGCATGAAAGCCGGACTCCATTTCCTGGGAGTTCCAGCTCCTTCCAGCTGTGGCTGCCGGATCCCGCCCTGCTGTCTGGCCATTCCAGCCCACCCACCTCACACCTCATTTTACACTCCAGTGATGCTCTCGGCCAGGCAGGTGGGGAGCAGCATCTGGGAGCGAGATGGGCATCTGGGGCTGGGGATACCCCAGAACCTTGGGACAGTAACAGCCCAGAGCCAGGGCAGAACCGTGACCTCCTGTCTTCGTGCCCCTGTGACAGGCACAGGTTCTGTTGGCACGGGCATGCAGGGAGTGGATTGCGGCTCTGCTCTGGCCACAGCACTGTGCTGTCGCTGCCCCAAGATCCCAGCCCCAGCCTGGCTCCAACCCCGGACGTAGCTTCCCACCAGCCTGGCCAGCCAAGCACCCTGCCTGCATGGTTCCTGGCCAGCCTTCATGGAGACCCCAGGATTGCGGGATAGCAACAGTGCAAGGCTGGGGCCAGGGCAGAGCCCTCATTCTGTGGGCAGGGACTTGCAGGGAGCACATTGTGGCTCATCCAACAGGGAATTTTGGTGAGCTGTTGTGCGGGGGCAGGGAAGGTGTTGACTCAGCCTGCAACAAGTCAGCAAAACTCCCTATGTAGCTCATGGGCCCAAATAATTGCCTACCCCTGGTCTAGGTAGTAACTCATTAAGCTGGGACATATGTGATGGGATTGATCTAAGCACAGTTTACAAATTCTAGGTGAAGTTAAAAGTTGTCATGAAACTGCTGCATTCTGGAATGCAGTTTAGACGTGGGGCCTACCATAGGCTGACAGGGGCTCTAGCATATCTCTTCCAGACTAGGGACAATGTAGAGTGGTTGTTCTTAACCACTGTGCACTAACTAAACAGTAGGTGTCCTAAACAGATGTTGGGACAGGAGGCAAAAAGAGAAGCAAGCCTCTGTAGCAAGGGGGAGTCCTGTTTAACTCTGCAGTCAATTTGGAGCAGAAAATTAAGGCTCCATGATTCAGAGGGCAGGCTTCACTGAATGCTAGATGCTTCCAGAAAGCCTTGACTTGAGATGCTAAAGAACTACCTAGAGTGAGGAGAAAAGTGAAGCAGGGAACCACATCCAGGGTTTACTATTTTTGTGTAGATTTGCATATTTCTCAAGTCATTAAAAAAAAAGAGTAAATTGTTTTAGTATCCTATGTAAACCTCTACACATGTGTGAACTCCTGTATTTTATGTACTGCATCCATCCTGTGGAAAATGAAGAGTTAAATAAGAATGCCCACTGGGGTGGAGTTGTAGGAAAGCATGTGCCTAAGCTCCTGGGAGTCTAGGAGGGTCAACAGTGCTTGTAAGAGCTGAGGGCAGTTAGGCTGAAAGATCTCATTTCCTTTTGGGGACCAGCGTCCTACAAAGGTGCTGGAGAGGACAAGGGGAAAGAGCTGCAGCCAGCTTAGACCAAAGGGGGCTTAAAAGCCCCTGGGACATAGTGGGACCCAACAGAGCAGCCTGCCAAGTGACCAGCTGCTAAAAGGAGCACTACCAGGGTTAAAAAGCATGTTTGTGGGCAGGATTTGGTTCTGCATAACTGACAGAAATGGCTTCTAGCTACGGGATAAAAGAGAATACATTTTCCTAGTTATTCTTTTAACTGAGTGCTGTAAATTTCATACTACAAATGCTATTCATCTGTAAAATTCAGGCTCTGTGCTGATTATATTTATGTTGCAGATTTTCAGCTTATATTTCCTCATGCCCTTCCTTGTAATTTCTGTTAAAACAAAAGGATTTTTAAAATCAGAGCAGCATCAGTAAATGCAAAATAAGCTCCCACAGCTCATGCAGTTTAGTTTAAATTATTCTTATTTTCTGTCTCTTTTGCTTCAAATATCCAAAAATCTGCTATTGAATAGGCAGAGCCCAGAAAACACAGACCTCTCTATGGAATTAATTCTGCAGGTTGACTCTGTGGCTGAGTTGCAGCAGATGATGCTGAAAAGGAGAATGATCTGGTTCCCTTTCCTCTTCCTCAGTGCCCATACTTAATGCATCAAAGAGGTCGTTGTCTAGCTCAGGAGGATGGGGGAGCACTGAACTAATCTGTGCCCTCCTGCTTGATCATCTCCTGTGGTCCCCAAAGGCAAGCACTGCAAGGATGGCTTTAAAAAAAAAGGAAAAGAAGCATCAACACAGCCTAGGTTCTGACATCGATGTCTACACGTGTGCATTTAATGTGACTTAGCCCAATTTAAGGTGCATTATACGCATGTGTCTACATGTGCGCACCCTTAATGCACCTTAAAAATGGCAATTTTCGGTTATTTGGGTGTATATACACGTACTTTTCTGTCCCTTGATGCACCGGAGATCAGCTGCTTCAGAGCAGACTCAAGTCTGCTCCGTATGCAAGATGAGGCAAACTGTGCTACGCCATGTGCAGTTATGTAAGCGGCAAAATGCATGTCAGTGTGCAGAAAATGGTGGCAGTGCACTTTTGAACTAACACACCTCCAATGTGTTTTCATTCCAAAGCGCCCTGCCACCATTTTCTCAGTGCTGACATGCATCTCATTGCTTATACAACTGTAAGCGTTGCAGCGCCAGGCACTTTTCAAAGTGCCTGGTGCTGCAGCGTTTGTGTGTGTAAAAATGCCCTTTGAGCCTAAATCTGATACCTGCATAAAGCAGGTATCAAGTTTATGTGTGAATAGCTAAGTTGCATTAGCGAACGTGTAGACACGCTAACGCGCATTAACTCAGTGTGTGTTCATTGACTTGGGACTAACTTGAGTCCCAAGTCAGTCTGCACACCCACATTAATGCATCTTAGTGTGTGCATATATAGACGCACGCTTAAATCACCTTAATGTGCATTTGGCTAATGTGCATTAAGTTTAGGCATGTGTAAAAGCATGTGTAGACACACCCAGTGTTATCTAGTATGAAAGTCCAAATCTTGTTCCCCATGGAGTGCTCACAGTCCACTTCATTCAGGTCATGCCCAGTGTTCCATGTACCCCTCTCAATTTGCCTACCTACCACTGAAGTTTAAATGAAAAACTGGAATAGTTAGAAATGAAAACATTGTGAAGCAAACAGAAATGATCAAATTAAGCTATTTTTACTTTGTGGAATACCTTAAAATACTTAATTCATCACAATGATTCTTTTGCAGAGATATCGAGTACAAGGAGCTTCAGTTATCACTGGACCAGGTTACCATTTCTAAGTCACAGTTTTCATGCAGAAACTCAATGTCTACCTCACAAGAAACAAGGAAAATAGTAAAACCCAAGAGTAACAAGATGAAGGCAAAACTCAGAACAACTCCTTACCCACAACAGGTAACCGTTTCAGAAACATTTAACTGCCAAATAAAGTGACAACGGTGTGTTTGTTGTAATAACTTGAGATATACTTGCTGTTAGATTGAATATAATAATCTGGTCTGTAAAGAATTTCCTAGATACTCAGAATTAACATGGGGCTTGTCCTTTCTTGGGAGGTATCATTGTAGAAATATTGCAACAGAAAGAGAAACATTTAAGGATAATGAGGTTATTAACTAGCATTCAAAAGCTTTAGAATTTGGGTTACTCAATTTACTTGAAAGATTAAACTTAATCTTAGTAAAAAGAGGAGAACCATATAACAGGAAAGATGCTATGTGATAAACTGAGCTGGTGTTTCATACACCAGACACTCATTTTTGTTTACAAAGAATACCAAACAAATGTTGGCAATTCCCTTACATAGCAGGAAGCTAGAGGGGAAGGGGAGCACTCATTTAGTGGACAGAGACCTGGACTGAGATGTAGGAGACCAAAGTTCAGTGCCTTCGTTCTGCCACTAGCTTGTGGGGTGATCTTGGGCCAGACACTTAATCTCTCTGCCTCATTTCCCCCCCTTGGGAAAAATGGGAAAAGTGATGCACTTCCTTCATAAGTCACTTCAGGATCTGTAGATGAATCTACTGAGAACTAGGTCAGGCTGGGCAAAATACAATCTGTGGGCTGGACCTGACCTGCCATTGGATCCAGTCTGTGGCACTCTGCATGGGGCCAAGCTTTGCCCAAGGCAGTCTGTGCCACACTCCTACCTGCCCTGGTACTGGCCAAGATGCACAGCTTCCTGGTGGGACTGCTCTCAATGCAACTCAGCAGCCCAGGTACTGCTTGGCTCCTTTTGCCTCAATCAGCACACTTGCTATGCTGTTCCAGGTGGCAGGTAGTGTGGGGAAGCAATGGGGTCACATGCCAGGCAGCAGATGCCCAGCTAGGCAGGGGTGGGAAATTGCAGTAAGGAGGCTCCTGCCCCGGCATGCAGGGCTCCAGCTCTAGCTACCTTCCACCCACTTGGCCACCCACAGGTGGCTGCTCATTGCACTGGGCAGGCAGAGTAGGTGGAAAGCGGCCTGGAGCTGAAGCCCCACACACTGGGGCAGGAGCCTGACAGCTGCAGTTTCCCCCCTGCCTGGCTGCGCATCTGCTGCCCAGCATGTGTCCCCATTGCTTCCCTGCACTGCCTGCTGTCTGGAATGGTGCAGCAGGGGCAGGAAGAGGAGGAGCTGCTGGAGGTGGGGGAAGCCAAGCAATACCTGGGTAGCTGCAGCTGCACCAGAAGCTCCACTGGAAAGCTGTGCATGCTGGCTGGGGCTGGGGCGTGGGGGACCATGGCACAGGTGGGAGAGGGTGGGGCTCAGCCCCATGCAGAGTGCTGCAGGGGCAGCCATGGGTCGGATGTGAGGGGGCAGACCGTACCTGCACCTGCATCTGCACAGCCCAGGTGAGCTCTGCTGATGCACTCCCCTGCACCAGCACCTCCAGCCAGCTCCTGGGACCTGGCTTGTGGGTAGCCCCCCACATACACCCACACACAATATACAAGCTTAAGACTTTATTTTGAGCTATTATGCAATCACATCTATATACACTACTCAAAAAACATTAATCAAGACAAAAATATTTTTTTAAATAAAATTAAAATGTTACAGTAGAGGCTTGATTTTTTTGTATGTGGTTTGTTTTTTATCTATAATTTATTAAAATAATATCTTCTGAAAGATTTTGTGTGTGTGGCCCTTGACAGCTCACCAAAACTCATTAAGTGACCCTTCAGCTGAAATAATTGCCCACCCCTGAAATAGGTGTTTTCCTTATACAGCAGCAATTAGATCTAGCACATGCATTTCATTTCTTACAGTGAGTGCTAATCAGACACTTGGACTTAAAGAAAAAGAGTATTATGGTATACAGCTGACAGAGAATAGATCTAGACTTGTCATTCCAAAGCTTCCCATGTTAACAAACAAATCTTTTTAATAAAGCAAATCAATAATACTCTGAAGCTTCGCTTATCCAAGGATTCCTGTTCTTCAATACAGGCTTATATCCTGTGATGCTAACTACATTCAGAGAGTTATGGACTATCTGAACTTTGACTATGCAAACTTATTGGTTATCTTCTTACAGTAGGATGTGCTCTATTATTTTTCTATTACATCAAAACCGTTTTTACAACCTTTTATTCAGTAACATAATGATATTGTATTATATTTACACAGCACATTCTGTAGGTGCTAAAAGAACATAGATCTACTTCTGAAATGGAGCCATCTCTTATGTGTAGTACATAAATCATTTTACAAAGTGCAGCAAGTTACCAGTGGGTACCTCTACACTTACAGTTACCCCGATGCAATAAATTCTGGCGCAGTTCACGCTGGAGTCGGCTGCTCCTGGGCACTATGTTTACATGTGCGCCTGGGATTGCAGCAATTCGAGCTAGGAGCAGTTCCAGGCTGGCAGAGAGCCTGGGGGGTTCAGCTCCAGGTTCCAGGTGGTGGATGGGCAGTGGAGGGGCTGGCTGGGCATGAGGGTCCTACAATGTGGGGCTAGCTAGCAGGCAGTCACTGTCTACATGTGTGTTGCAGTGGCATAAATTACTTTGCCATAGGATAGCATGTGTCCCAGACACTACTATCCTATGGCAGAGTTGATTAATTTACTGTGTCCTAATTTGGGCACATGTGTAGATGGTGACACTTCACTGTGGAGCCAAATAGTCAACTCCAGAGTAAATCGCACATGTAGATGCACCCAATGAGTAGCATTCTTTGCCTCTCTTCCCAAACTGCTTCTAATTAAAAACAGAGGGAAGAACTTCAGATAGGCACAATGCAGTTATCCAAATTAAATGTCTTACTGTGCACTTAGGCTTGTCTTCACAATGAACAAAGCTGTGTTTCTGACTTATTTATAATTAAAGCATGATTTAAAACCCAATAAAACAGTGAGGACACGGTACTTTACTTTTACTGTGAAATAAACGTGCTAATGTAAGCCCAATGCCATCACTTTATTATTAATGAGGTCACAGACTCCTGTCTGCTATGCTGATACATTTCAAGGTTAACCATTAAAGCCTTTTCTTATTTTTATTTTTCAGCCATACAGCTCATTCCAAACTGAGAAACTGGAATGTGGCCAGGCTGGAAGCTGGAGATCCAGCCCCACAGCAAATATTACCACGATTCAAGAACAAAATATGCATTCAGAAAACAGTGAACTTTTATATACCCCTTCTTATGGTTTGCCTTTCTCTTACCATTATGGACACTTTCCTGTAGATTCTCATGTCTTCAGTAGCAAAAAGCAAATGCTGCCACCTAAATTTGGGCAGTCTCAAGGATCACCTTGTGAAGTAGCTCGTTTTTTCTTGAGTACATTGCAGTCAAGTGGAGAGTGCCAGTGGCATTACACCAACTCTTTAGTACCTGCCAGCCAGTCACCATCTAAACATCTTCCTGATCAACCTATGAATGTTGTACGTCATAATCTTGCACAAAGTTATGAAGGTGAGTGCTGTCTTAAAAAAAACAAAACAAAACCTTATACAGTATTAGGAAGAGTTAATTAATGGTTTTTAAAAGATGAAATACAAGTTTGGTAAGCACAGAGGAAATAAAAGGATTTAACATTTTATTCACCAAAGGCTTCCTTAAAAAGCAGCGTCTGAGAAATAGTAATTTATGCTGTTGCATTTTTGTTTGCAAAGTCAGTCAATATAATTACTCAGGTGAGTTGTACCTCTAAACAAAGATAGATGCAGGTATTCAGATCACCTACAGTTCAACTGTGGAAACTGAAATAGATCATAAGCACTGCCATTCAGTGAGGTAGACACAGGTCCATCTTGCCCAATATCCTGTGTCCCACAGTGGCAGAGTGGATGCTGAAAGGGAGAGTGAACAGGATATGACCTGCATTTATCCCTTATTCCTCTCCCACTTACAGGCTGCAGCACTTAATGGCCTGGGGCCCATAATTCCCATGCTCAATAGCTACCGATGCACTTTTCCTCCTTTTCTGAATCTGGCTAAACTGCCAGCTTCCACAACATCTTGTGACAATGAGTTCCACCATGTGAGAAAGAACTTTCTTTTGATATTTTTTAACTTGCTGCCTACTAGTTCCATTTTACAACCCCTAGTTCTTGTACTGTGAGAGAGAGCAAATAGTAAGTCCCTATTTACTGTTTCTTCACCACCTAGTATTTTGTAAACCCTTATCATGCCCTCAAGCGTTTCTTTTCTAAACTGAATAGGCTTAGTCTCTTTAGTCTCTCCTCATATGGCAGTCCCTCCATACCACTAATCATCCTTATTGCCCTCCTCTGTGCCTTCTGTATCTTTTTTATCATCATTATTATTGTTTCTACCAATATTCCAGGAACCAGGAGTTAGACTCACTGGCCCGTACCTCCCTGGGTCCCCTCTAGAGTCCTTTTAAAAATCTTGGGGCATCTATACACATGCTCCAGGGTGGGAGTGGGGAGGTGTTTAAGCCACTCTAATTAAAGCGGCTGCAGAGTCGCATGTATTCAGTGTCCCTGCACTTCAAAATGGCAGTAGAGGTGCTTTAACTAAAGCTTGTTCAAGGAGCTTTAGTTAAAGTACCCTTGCTGCCATGTTGAAATGTGGGGATACTGAAAATATATGATGCAGAGGCTGCTGGAACACACTAATTAACACACTCCAGAATCGATTAGCACACATCAGAGCAGAGGTCTATCACATATATAGATGCCCTTGGAGTCTTACTGCCAGCTCTCCAGCCCTTTGGTACTGAGGTCCTTTTCAGTGCTATGTTGCATACTACAGTTAGGAGCTCTGCAGTTTTCAATCTGAGTTTCAGGACCCTAGGGTGAATGCCATCAGGTCCTGGTGATGTGCTACTGTTTAGTTTATCAGTTTCTCTATGACCTCATCTATTGAAACCTCAGTTTGGGTCAGCTCCAGACTTGTCCCTAGGGAGAAGTGGATCTGGGGAGGGAATCTCCCTAACGTCTTCTACACTGAAAACAGATGCAAAGAACACATTTAGCTTCTCAGCAATAGCTCTGTCATCCTTTAGTGCTCCTTTTACACCCTGATCATCCAAAGGTCTAAATGACCTGGTCTTTGGCTTCTAATGTACTTAAAGAAATTTTGTTACGTTTGATTTGCCAGAGTTTGTGCTCTTTTTAATTTTCTTCATTAGGGAATACAGGCATGCTTCATGCTCAAACAAACCGGAAGCCCTTTTTTTTTAATGTAGCTATTTTGAATGCATCTGCCTGATTATTTTTACAATTACTGAAATCATGAAGGTTTTATAGAACTAGGTTCAGTGGATGGTTTTCATGGATACTAATATTCTTCTGGCAATATTTTAGTGATCTGCACTGAAGGGAGCTGCAGCCTCTGCACACAGACAGGGGGAGGTTCAGATATTTAGAAGGAAACTCTGGGCATATTGACCTCAGATGGATGGGCCCAGGGACAGATTCAGGATTTCCAAAAGAGGGGTGCAGGAGCAGAAATCTGCACTGCAGGTATGGGTGCAGCCCCTGCTCCCACCCTCCTCTGCCCCACCACTGTGATCAGACTTTTTTTAAGTCTGTAAAGTAGATGAAAATCCCTTTTCCCTTCCCCTTCCAAGGCATGCCTGCCCCCTTCTTCTTCCCCCTCCCCCTCCCCTCTTGCACTACTGCTTTGTCCACTCCTTGGGAGCAGGGAAGCTCCAGAGCCAGCTGGCTGAGCAGGGCCTCTGCAGGACAAATCAGGACAGTTGGTGGTTGACTTGGGGAAAAAAACAGAGCTCTTCAATGAGTTCTTCACTTCAGTATTTCTATGTACCGACCAAGCCAATTCCCCCACCTCGATCATTGACAGATGCCCACATGGCACCAGTCTGCCTACGGTTAGTTCTGAAATAGTTAAGGAGCTCCTGGAGGAGCTGGATGGGTACAAGTCAGCAGGCCCGGATGACCTCCACCCATGGCTGCTGAAAGAATTGGCCAGTGTCATAGCTGAGCCGCTGGCACAGCTGTTCGAGCACTCGTGGTGCTCCGGCCAGGTCCCTGAGGACTGGAGAAGGGCCAATGCGGTGCCCATTTTCAAGAAAGGGAGAAGGGATGAGCTGGGTAACTTTAGACCAGTCAGTCTTACCTTTATTCCTGGGAAAATGCTAGAGAAAATGACCAGAGAACACATTTGTGCAGGCCCAGCAGGGGAAACGATGCTGAGGGGAAACCAGCACGGGTTTGTCACAGGTAAATCCTGCCTGACAAAACTTGTAGCCTTCTATGACCAGGTCACACACTGCCTGGACACGGGAGCTGAGGCTGATGTCATCTTCCTGGACTTTAGGAAGGCCTTCAACACAGTTTTGCACCCTGTCCTCATTGGGAAGCTAGCAGACTGCGGAGTGGATGCCTACACAGTCAGGTGGGTGACCAACTGGCTTAGGGACCGCACCCAGAGAATGGTGGTGGATGGTTCCTTCTCAGCCTGGAAGGAGGTGGGCAGTGGGGTCCCGCAGGTTTTGGTCTTCGGACCAGTATTATTCAATATCTTCATCAGCGATTTGGACGAGGGCATGGAGAGCACCCTCTCTAAGTTCGCTGATGATACCAAGTTGTGGGGCAAAGTTAGTACACCAGAGGGCAGGGAGCAGATTCAGGCTGACCTGGACAGGTTGGATCAATGGGCAGAGAGAAATAGGATGCAATTTAATAAAGATAAATGTAAGGTACTCCACCTGGGAAGGAGGAACCCCCAGCACACCTATAGGTTGCAGAGAGGGATCTTGGAGTCATAGCTGACTCCAAGATGAACATGAGTCGGCAGTGTAACGAGGCCATCAACAAGGCCAATCGCACCTTGTCGTGCATTAGCAGGTGCATGACTAATAGAACAAAGGAGGTGATGCTCCCCCTCTATGCGGCACTGGTCAGGCCGCAGTTGGAGTACTGTGTCCAGTTTTGGGTGCCACACTTCAAGAGGAATGCAGAGAATCTGGAGTGGGTCCAGAGGAGAGCCACTTGCATGATTAGTGGCCTTCATGATAGATCCTACAGGGGGAGGTTGAGAGAGCTGAATCTCTTCAGCCTTCACAAGAGACGGCTGAGGGGAGATCTTGTGGCCACCTATAAATTTATTAGGGGAGGTCAATGGGGAATAGGGGAAGTGCTGTTTACTAAGGCGCCACAGGGAGTGACTAGGAATAACGGGTGTAAACTAGTTGAGAGTGGATTTAGGTTAGATATTAGGAAGAAATTTTTCACAGTGCGGGTGGCCAGGATCTGGATTGGGCTTCCAAGAGAGGTGGTGCTATCACCTAGCTTGGAGGTCTTCAAGAGGAGGCTAGTCACCTGGCTGGGGTCATCTGGCCTCGGTCCTCTTTCCTGCCAGGGGCAGGGGGTTGGACACGATGATCCACTGTGGTCCCTTCTGACTCTACAGTCTATGAATCCATGAGCTGAGCTTAGCTGGGGAGAGACCGGGGCAACAGTGGCAGGAAAATACTACTATGTCTGGATCAGGCACAGGGAACCTCATGTGCATCCCTGCTGCTATTGTCCCTGTCCCCGGCTGAGTCCAGCCCCCATGCAGTAGACAGGAATGGCTGTAGTGCTTCCCCACCCCAGGAACAATGGGGAAGTTCAGGCGGGGAAGTGGGGGGGAAGGTTGGAGAGGGTCCATGCCTTTGAGCAGGAAAGAGAAAGGGAGGGAGGATTTTCATATGCTTTAGGGACTTAAAAGTCCCCAAGGTTCATGTGTTACACTCCAGTCCAAAAGGGGGATGCAGCTGCACCACTACACCTGCTGTGGATCCACTCTTGGACGGGCCATAAGTAACAATGGAGAGAGAGAGGGGAAGGGAAGATAGGTCAAAAGCTTTCCAGATTTCAACAACACTACAGGCATTTTATTTACTTAGGGACTCCACGGCCTGCAACACCTTTTCCTGAAGAGGGTGTTTTCAACTATTGGAAGACTGAGCTTATTGAGCCCAACAAATTGGTTTTCAGACAGCATCTGGGGCCTACATCTCTCTCCCACTGAGGCTAGGGTCATCTCTGGTGAGGACATGTCTGTGCCCTTCATAAAATGAACCACCCCCCCATTTGTCTGTGTTCCAGAGGCTTGACACTTTTTCAGTAGACTACAGTGGGGAAAAGGAACCAACAATACTGCAGGCTTACTTTTTTGCTTAGTTCAATTTAAATGCATTTTTAAGCATGTAGACACCCCTCAAGTGTGCCAGATTAATCTTGTCAGTTTTGTGGACTTGGACAAGAAGATAAGAACATCCTATCTGGACTCATATGGAAAGGAGTGTCTAATTTTAGTAGAAAACTAAGAGTCCACATTAATTTATGAATGAAATCTGGATATTTGAAGAATGAACTCAGACTTACGAATGGAATTTCATGCAGAGGTAAGGGAAGCTAAAAAATCTTCAAGTGCTTTGAGTAACCACATATGATAAACACTCTCTTAGATGACAAAAATAGTTTATTCTAAGACAG